AACACACACCATCCAACACAAAACATCCAACACAAAACATCCAACACAAACCATCCAACACAGACCATCCAACACAAAACATCCAACACACACCATCCAACACACACCATCCAACACAAACCATCCAACACACACCATCCAACACGCACCATCCAACACGCACCATCCAACATCTTAACCCTAAACTTTCTACCATCTCCATGTTCAGCTGAACGTAAAGTGACCTCTCACCTTATGTAGACCCTCCACTTTGGGCAGGTAGACCACAGCGTAGGTCCGGTTCTTGTCATTGCTGGGGATCACTCGGGCCTGTCAAGAGCCGACATCATTAATCAGCAGGAACCAGAGAACTGGTCCATGTTGAAGTACTGAACACGCTGTTTAGATCCAGACCTCCTCTGTGTGTCCCTCAGGGTCCTCCACATAAGCCAGGACCTCCCCCAATCCAGCCTCCACTGTCTCCACCAGGAACTCTGCTGGTTTCAGAACCATGTTACCTCTGGGCTCGATACCTGACAGGAAACACAACAAAGCATCACAGCCTCGACTACAAGAAGAATCAAAACCAGACCAAACCCAATCGGGTTTTCTAGACGTTCAGGATGAGAAGAACCGATTCAACTCGATTAAAAAACAAGAAGAAGAAATACTAAAGCGTGCAATAAAGGTACAAAATCTTCTTCTTTCAGCTGCTCCTTCTTCAGGGTCACCACAGAGAACTAAGACTTTGTGATTGTTTTTACACCAGATGTTCTTCCTGACACAACCACAGCCTCTGTGTGGAGCAGATGGTGGGGTACAAATCCTCTTTATTCCCCCAGATAGAGGTACAAAATAAAGGTACAAAATAAAGGTACAAAATAAAGGTACAAAATAAAGGTACAAAATGTGAAAAATAAATAATATTTACAAGATCAAAAAATATATAGTAAAAAACATGGTCGAATGTAACGATGCAAGTAGGATGAATTAGTTCAAAAAGTATTTCACGATGGCACAGCTGGTAGAGCTGCTGTCTCTCAGCGAGTAGGTTATCTGGTTCAAATCCCAGTCCGGGGGTCTTTCTGGGTGGAGTCTGCATGTTCTCTCCGTGCTGCGTGGGGTTCCTCCCACAGACCAAAAACATACATGTTAGACTGACTGGTAACTCTAAACTGTCCCTAGGTGTCCCTGTGATGGACTGAGACCTGTCCAGGTGTCCCTGTGATGGACTGAGACCTGTCCAGGTGTCCCTGTGATGGACTGAGACCTGTCCAGCGTGTCCCTGTGATGGACTGAGACCTGTCCAGGGTGTCCCTGTGATGGACTGAGACCTGTCCAGCGTGTCCCTGTGATGGACTGAGACCTGTCCAGGGTGTCCCTGTGATGGACTGAGACCTGTCCAGGGTGTCCCTGTGATGGACTGAGACCTGTCCAGGTGTAGATGAACAGATGCTGGGATATATTCATCATTTAACGCGGGTTCCTCATTTTTCTGGACTGAATAAAACGTGCATTGAATTTAAGGAAATGCAAAGTGAGACGTCATTTATATTTGACCCATCAAAATGAATGCGGTCATTTATTTACAGAATCAAATTTAACATCAAACATGTACATTAATTTGGCAAATTATGAAAATAACAACAAAGCAATCAATCAGGAAAAATCATACGGCCATGATTTTTCCGTTGCTGCACCACAAACATTTATAAACTGTACAACTATGATCTTTTACCCACACGGATGTGAATAAGCACTTTACACAGACATTTCTAAATATCTGGGAGAATTTCTACTTGATAGAAAGTTAAAGATGAAAGAAGTTAAAGGGAGTAAGATTGAATGGGAAGGGAGGAATGTTCACCAGAACCGACACTCTCCATCAGAAGCCCAGCTCTCCTTCGGTACGCTTGGTAGGAAACTTGATCCATTACCTTTCTGAAGATTTATCAGCAGATATGGAATTCCGTTAACGCTACCTGTCCAGCGTCTCCTGCGGTGGCTGTAGCTCGTCAGAAGTAGTGGCTAGTGAAAGTTATAATCCCATGGAACTCGGAAGAGCCTTTTGTCATGTCAAGATCATCCCGTCTCTAACAGAACTTGAGCAGAACCAGCAGAAAACTCTCCAGCACTCCAGCAACTTCAGAACTCCAGAACTCTAGAAGTCTGACAACTCTCCAACTCCGTAACTCTGTGAGTCTGTAACTCTGTGTAGACCAGGAAGTACTGACATTTTAAAGACTCTTTCCCGGTTCACTTTTTGGGATTTTTCATTGGTCAGAAACGACCAGAAGGGGTGTGTTTTTGTGACGTAAGAGGTTAGAGACAGCGAGAATTTGTTATGAGACAGATCAGAAATGTTCTCACAGACCGAGAGGGTTTTGTTTTGGCGTGTTTCAGGAAACAGGTGCAAAACATCTCTACTTACGTCTGAGAGGATTCTAAAACATGACAGTTTTAACATAACAACTTGTTTTTCGTTTGACTGTAACCTTGTAAACGCACACACTTGCTCATTCAAAAGCAGAAATCAGAAAAATGCATAATTACTCTGTAACAGCTTTTAACATGAGTTCTAACTGCATGAGAATAAAAATCATTACTCAGTTAATAAAATTTGATTAGTTCACTGCAACATCTAAAATGGTTTGAACTAAGACACTTTGATTATCAACATTTGTAAGATAGTAATGATAATAAAAAGAGAGTGTTCTTTTCACTTGAATCTTCAAGAAAGAAAGTCTCAGGATGGGTGAACCTGTATTTATGTATTCAAATACATGAAATGACAGTTCCTGTCCCACAAGGTTCTTAAGGTCAAGAGTTTTGACCTTAGACTTAGTTTCGACGTAGGCCTAGTCCACTACAGTCCCCCCTTTGGAAATCATCACCTGTCCATGGGGATGAATTCCAACTATGGACTTACGCCGTCGATTGTCCTTGAAGCTTGATGTAATCCAGCAAAGAAACAAGAGTCAAGAGTAATCCAGCAAGGAAAACAAAAGTCAAGGTAATCCCACAATGTTCTTGGTAATTCCATTGTGTTGATTATAATTCCATAACGTCTCGATAATTCCATTGTGGCAACGCTTTAACCCCTTGGAAACAGAGTCTGTAATCCACTGGAAAAAGTCATATAATCCACAACGGTAAATCCACAACGATTGGAAGTGTTGATTAATCAGCATACAGAGGGGTACCCTTGGATTGAACTGAAGAAGCGGCCACCGGATGAAGAGTGGAGACCAACGTCAGGATTGCAGGTCGCCTCCAGCGAAGGTTGTCTCCAGCGACGTCCAGCCTGTGCCGTTCTGGTTCAATGTGTCATGCAATTATGTGGTTTAAGGTGGGCTTATGAAGGGGATTTTACATAAGGCCTTAAACTATATGCACCTGGTGTGTAAGCTATTATGGTTGGGAACAGCTACAACTACCAGTTAAGGGGTGGAGCATGCTGAAAAGGGGTAACTACAGGGGTTTAAACCTATAGAAAAGGGTTCCAAACTACTTTTCCATTTCTAACTTGGGTTAAGTTAGCTTTACATGGCAAAATATAGTTTGGTTCAAATGTCTGTTGTCTTTTAGACGAACGACTTGAGATTGGGTGTTTGGTTTCCCCATAAATGTTTTGGAAGTCTATGGCGAGACTTATCAAAAAGAATTAGCTATCCCCCCGAATAGAATTGTTCGAGTAGGTTCGGCTTAAGCG